TTTTAAACTAAAAGCGCTAGTGTGGTCTGAAAAGTCGCTTAATATAGCGACGAAAGCGACAAGTTGGCAACACTGGCGAGCGCTATATTCGCATTTAGGCATAGAAGCATGTGTGAAAGTACAGATTTCACTCATTTCATTCACATGTTGCTCCTAAAATAAGTTGGGCTTGATGTAAATAAGATATCCTTTGGCTTTTATAAAAAAATAAGAAAGAAAATTCCGAAAAAGTCAAATGTTAAATTGGTTTGGGGAAAAAGCTAAAGCTGTAATGCATAATTATCAGAAACATCTAATGTTCAGATTGCAGCGACATGACCTGTCCCCCCCACACAATCGAATGCACCCAATATCTGTACTTGTGCGTTCTCATGTGTTCGTGAAACGCCATCAGCCTCAGCCCTGGTAATGTTCAAGTTCTGAAGAACACAAGACAGAGAACGGACAAAATCCCCGGATGTTGTTCTCGTCCCTCCCTCTTTACCCAGCATGCATCAGAGCAGACTTGTCCGTTCTTGAGATTGACAGCTGTCCCAGCATGCACTGCGGCAGCAGCAGCTTCCAGCTGAGCGCTCACAAAGCTAGTATTAAGTTAAAACCTTACTTTAATGTTCTTAAAAGTACGTTTTAACATCGTTTGAGGCGACAACATTGTATAGTTTTAAGCTTCATTTATATAATTATATAATTTTGACAAAGGATGAAGCAGGGAATGCTCTTATGAGATCTGTGGGTGGCTTTAAAAACAAAAAAAAACAAAAAAAACAGGTTGGAAAAGTGTTTTTTCTTTTAATTCTCTTCGCTGGAACCTAAAAAAAAACAATAGCTTGTGTAAATATAAAGTCAAAATCCTTCCGAAAGTGTTGGTACTGAGATCAATATAAGTGTTTTAAAAGGCAAATTTATGATTAATTTGATATCCTCATTTGAAATTGTGTCCTTTAACCAATCTGAAACCGCATCCGTCACATAAACCGACGTGAATTTCCAGGTTAGCGCCTCTTTTATCAGATAAACAAACTTTCCTACTGTGGCTGAAGGGTTTAAAATCAAGCTTCCAGCTAATGATCCACGAACGCCGTGATCTTCCTCTGCCTGCTGCTTCAAAGTGTAACAGGAGGCATCCTTTCACTCAGTGTTACTGATAATAAAACCTTACTACTTATAGTAAAAACTGATTAAAGGCTCACACAGCCTGGGAGAAACATAAAACCAGTCCCATCTCGGTCATTTTAGGGATTTGTAAATCGAGGTAAACACTACTAAAACAAGCACCAAAAAGACACAAAAAATAAATTAGATAGATAGATAGATAGATAGATAGATAGATAGATAGATAGATAGATAGATAGATAGATAGATAGATAGATAGATAGATGACAGAGAGATAGATAGATAGATAGATAGATAGATAGATAGATAGATAGATAGATGCAGTTAATCAACAACATTTTTAGCAGTTTATTTAAAAAACAAGCCAATAATATTATGATTAATTACATGATTTGTTCATTTTGAGAAGCTTCCCTAAGATCTTTATGAACAATAATTCCAGGAAAGCTCCAGGCTTTGGGGGTTCATGAGGGACCTCCTAATTGCAAGATTTACCGAGGCCAAGAAAGGCTAAATAAGATTTTGCATACAAAAGGGAGAAAATAGAAAGACTACGGCAAGAGGGGACAAGAGAAAACCTGAAGAAGAAGTCAACAAGAAAAAGAGTAAGTGGAGAGAAGAAGAGGGAAAAGGAGAAAGGAGAAAAGGGAGAAAAATATAAAGGGTATATAAATCTTGGATTTTTGGTGTGTTTTAATTGGTTTCGTAAACATAAAATACAGTTTTAGAGATTTGGAGTTGTTCTCAATGGCAATTAGCTATGATATAATTTTGAACATTGGTGGAGCAAGCATGCTTGCTCTGCACTCCCAGCTATATCAGCTCTTCTTAAAACACCCTAAAAAAGTTTTGATACCCCCCTCCCCCCACTGTACATGGTTTAAAGGTTTAAACAGCAACTTTATTTACATTCTCTCATGCTTACAGAGAAAAGAATCTTCAGTGCATACCTGTAGATCCTTGAGTCTCTGCTCCATAATTGGATACTCTGTAACAGCCGTTGATGGGACGGAAAGTTTGGCTTCGCACTGCTGTAACCATGCCAACAGCGTGGATATGGTCTCTTTGTATTGGGCCGGGGGCAGGCTTTCCAAAACTGAGGACAGAAATGAAAATATGCTTTAGAGGCTGAAAGGTAGCCTAGACTTGTTGCAGTTTTAGCAAACGAGATGAAACTAGAAAATAAAATAAAAAAGTTTTTAGAACCACATGGACTTTTAGTTCACCGGTGAAATTATGGACAATTAAAAATACGCTTTTCTTTTGTGCTTATCTGAGCATAGATACACAAACAGCAGATTTAATTATAGATTAAATATAAATAAGTCCAAAAAATAAAAAAAACAACTAAAACTGGTTATTAAATTAATGAAGTGTTAAAACAGTGAAGAACTAATGATTGTTAATAAAAGTAAAAATAAACAACAAAAGCATAAATATGTGCTATAAATGAATCTTTACTCTATTTTAAGCACAGATTTTTTTTTTTTTTTTTAGAAAAGTTTTAGAATAAGGCTACGTTCCCTCAGCAGGGATTGAAGCTGAATTCAGATATTTTTGGCTGAAATCCGATGTTTTTCTGCATGGTCGATCAAACTACCAACTGATGGCAGCCACTATCAGACTCCAGTCTGAACCCTCACAGCCCCAATGTGACCTGCATGTGCACGAGCACAAAGTACAGTGGGAGCCATTAAAAATTTTACCATTTTCCTTGGCTGGTCTCCTACACTTCCTTTTTAAGCATCAATCTTTGTACTAAAATATTCTTTCCGTCATGACTGACTGAAAAGAAGCGCCTTCTCCTGGTCAGACCCTGTAATTCAGAGAAAGGGTGGAGTCAGAGTAAAAAACTATGCACGCCCAGGAGAAGGAGTGGGTCACTGGGAGCTGGAGGGAAGTGGCCAGCCTAACCACTACAGTCATGGCCAAAAGTTTTGAGAATGATTCAAATGTTAATATTTACAAAGTTTACTGCTTCAGTTTTAACAGCAATTAATTGCAAAGTCAATATTTGCCTAGAAAATGAACTTTATCCCCTAAAACACATTTCAACGTCATTGAAGCCCTGCCTTAAAAGGACCAGCTAACATCGTTTCAGTGATTGCTTCATTAACACAGGTGTGGGTGGTGATGACAGGGCTGGAGATCAATCTGTCACGAGGCTGGTGCTTGGCATCATTGTTTCTCTTCTGTGAACCATGGTTATCTCTAAAGAAACACGTGCAGTCCTCATTGCACTGCACAAAAATGGCCTAACAGGAAAGAGAATCGCAGCTAGAAAGATTGCACCTCAGTCAACAATCTATCGCATCATCAAGAACTTCAAGGAGAGAGGTTCCATTGTTGCCAAAAAGGCTCCAGGGCGCCCAAGAAAGACCAGCAAGTGCCAGGACCGTCTCTTAAAAGTGTTTCAGCTGCGGGATGGGGCTACCAGCAGTGCAGAGCTTGCTCAGGAATGGCAGCAGGCAGGTGCGAGTGCATCTGCACGCACCGTGAGGCGGAGACTCTTGGAGCAAGGCCTGGTCTCAAGGAGGGCAGCAAAGAAGCCACTTCCCTCCAGGAAAAACATCAGGGACAGAGTGATACTCTGCAAAAGGTACAGGGAGTGGACTGCTGAGGACTGAGGTCAAGTCATTTTCTCTGATGAATTCCCTTTCCGATTGTTTGGGACATCTGGAAAACAGCTTGTTCTGAGAAGACGAGGTGAGCGCTACCACCAGTCTTGTCTCATGCCAACTGTAAAGCATCCTGAAACCATTCGTGTGTGGGGTTGCTTCTCAGCCAAGGGAGTCGGCTCTCTCACAGTCTTACCTAAAAACACAGCCATGAATAAAGAATGGTACCAGAATGTCCTCCGAGAGCCACTTCTCCCAACCGTCCAAGAGCAGTTTGGTGATGAACAATGCCTTTTCCAGCATGATGGAGCACCTTGCCATAAAGCAAAGGTGATATATAACTGGCTCAGGTAACAAAACATAAAGATTTTTGGTCCATGGCCTGGAAACTCCCCTGATCTTAATCCCATTGAAAACTTGTGGTCAATCATCAAGAGACGGGTGGACAAAAGAAAACCTAGGAATTCTGACAAAATGCAATAATTGATTGTGCAAGAATGGACTGCTATTAGACAAGATTTGGTCCAGAAGTTAATTGAGAGCATTCAAGGGAAAATTGCAGAGGTCACTGCAAATATTGACTTGCTGCATTAACTCATTCTGTCATTAAAAGCTTTTGTTACTCATAATATGATTGCAATGGTATTTTTGAATGTGATGACATCATCTGACATACACACATGAAAACCAGAGGGCAGCAGGTCATGTGAAAATATAATATTTGTGTCATTCTCAATACTTTTGGCCATGACTGTATATAGGGCACTATATACCCATTTCAGACGAGTGTCCGAATAACTAGTGGATGAAAAAGTAGCGGACAAGAAATTTCCCACAATGCACCTTAAAAAGTAGTGATCATCCATGTTCTCTTGATGAGCAGATATATCACGGAATTCTTTGGGAGGAGGGTTCTCCTCGCAAAGCATCATGGGATTTGTTGTCACAGCGGCCTGCGGTCGCCCAAGGCTCTAGCTACCATGACAGGGGCGACTAATAACAAAGATGGCGGAGATATAGTGCGGGGAGGCAAAGTAACGTTACCAACGGGGAGCGAAAAGTAGAGATCATCTGTAAAGTCCACAATATAGTCAACTCTCCATTTAGTGATTGAAGGATTTAGGGTTTAGGGCAGACGTTCTGACAGAGCCCTGGTCCGGGTTAATTGGCTGTAAGGTGTCCGGTAAAAAGGGTTATAGGACACCTACAAAAAAAGTTCCTGTCAAATAGTCTAATAGTTTCTGCCAGCTAAAACGTTAGCTGGAAACGGGAAGACGGTTTACGCTGGTTACCTTGGTAACACATAACAGCTAAAGATGCAGGATTTCCAGAAAAGTAACGAATCATAGGAGGATTTCTTTGTCCTTCAAAGTGACAAAAGTTGACATGAGAGCACAGGAACTGATCCAAATGTGAGAAGGCAGAAGCAGTCGTGTGTGTGATGCATTGGATCAAGTGGTGAAACCCCATCAGGGAGCAATGTCTTCAAAATATGCTAACATATTTAAGCTAAGTAGGACATTAGTGAAGGAATCTAAACTAGTGATTAGCTGTTGAGTTTGAAAAGTCGCAGTTATGTCAATGCTCTCACCCAGCTGTAGTAGCCTCTCTCTGGCCCGCAGGTCCTCCAAAACCTTATGGTAGTGTTCTTTGAATGCAGAGATGTCAGCATCCAAAAAGGCAGAAGGGTCCTCCTCTCCTTCCTTTTCATCTTTCAATTCCTTCAAACGCTTTTCAAGGAGCTCCACCTGGGGCTGCAGGGAGGAAAGGCGAGCCACCTCCTCCTGTTATTACAACAGAGTAAAGGAACAAATTTGAACCCTAATCCAACATCATTCAGTTTGGCAAGAAATAGGCGAGCAGCAAACTCTCCAAATCTGTACATCGTTTGTGCCTTCATCTAGCCTCCATTCTTGCTTAAACTCTGTAGCTTTTAGATTATGTTAGAAAAGGCCAATAGAACCACCAAGGGAACAGCCACAGGTTGGGCAGAATATGAAGGTAACCCATTTATAAAAAGTTTGATATAGAATTCTATAGGGTAGCATATGAGTTTATTTGACATGGAGATTTTGGAGCATTTTAAAAGCCTGCAGTGCAAAATGTTCAAGCTAGTAACTTGGAATACCTTTTGTATGCATTTAAAAACACTACATAAAAAAAAAAAAAAATCTGCATAAAATGGCTTTCAGATTTGACATTAAGTGCCCATTAATCCTGATTCCTTACTACTCTGCATATATTAGCTGTGACATATGAATGAAGATGCTATGACTGATGATTGGCCAAATTTAGGTGTACAAGCTGACATATGACTAACCGCCCTGCATAAAATATAGAACCCCCCCAATTTTATTATAAAATTAAATTGCAATCATTATATTTTATAATATATATAAAATATATCAATTTTATTAGTATATTAAGGCTCAAAAGCATTACATGGTTCCTTTACCATTTTCAGGCACCATTAAAAGCTATGGTAGTGGCCCTGAAGTTACAAGACCCCTGCATTAGAAGAACAACTTGGTTATAAAGTTTAAGAAGAGGCAATAAACTATCTTAATGTTACCGTTTGAGGTTTCGATCGGCCAATACATTAGATAAGAAAAGCCAAGACTGTGGAGTACTGCAGGATGACATTTTCTAACACTGCAAGAGAACCCTGATCAATAAACCCACATGGGGTTAAGAGCAGAGCTCAACAAAGTCAGAACTCCTCTTTAATGTCTTCCAACAGGGCAACAGAGCTTCTCTGTGCTTTGGAACAGCAGGTGACGACAACCGTGAACCCCTGAGAAGCTGAAATCTATTAAGTAAGAATCAACATAAGTTCCTCTTGTAAAACTGCAATGATCAGTATCATCGGCTCAGAAACCATTTAAATGGGGAATTAAAAGTCAAGCGATTGTATACGTTTATAAATATATTTCTCTCTCTTCCTGGTGAAGATTCTCAGTCATCCAGGTCATAAAACCTTGCAAAAAAAGGAAGTTAAAAACAATCTACTTTGTTTCCACGTTTGAAGACGTTTCTCTTCCCATCCAGGAAGATTTTTCAATTCAAAATGTCGAATGAATAGCATTGAGTTTAAGGTTTTATACAGTAGCCCATCAAAACCGACAGAGGTTTTGATGGGCTACTGACAGAGGGGGTGGACTAAGATTTCAGCTTTCAAAAACCTACAATACAACAATTGATTTGATCCCTTCCTGCTATTATTGCAGCCCCAACTCCTGCACAGGAGAGCAGAGGACCTCGCCTATTCAGCCAGGCCAACAATTCCCTTTAACGACCCCCCTTTCAGAGACTTAGATGGGTTAGGAGCAATGCAGGCTAACAGGCTAACAAAATTCAAATTTTAAAGTTTTCAAGGCTGCACTTTAAAAAAAAAAGCAGGATATAGAACATTTCATAAGGTTTCTCTCCTTTTTGACAAAAAAAGAGATAAAATCAGAGCAAAAGAAAAACATTGATCCTTTCTATCTCTACATGCATTGTACGATCCCCCTTTCAGAGACTAATAAGGGTATGGAGCAATGCAGGCTAACAGGCTAACAAAATTCAAATTTTACTGTTTTCCAGGCTGCACTTAAAAAAATAATTTTTCTAGAGCTGTTTTAAATGAAATTTCTTTTTGTAAACACTAATCTATACAAAATGCCAAAATAAATCTGTCTAAGTCTAAAAGAAGCCAAACGACCCCCATTCAAAAGGGGAGGACCCCTTCGTCCGTTTCAATTTGCATGTTTTCAGAACAAAAACAAGGTTTTGATGGGCTACTGTATAAAACCTCGAACTCAACGCTATTCCTGACATTTTGAATTGAAAAATATTCTTGGATGTGGAGCGAAACGTCTTCAAACTTGAAAAAAAGTCCAGTGGATTGTTTTCTTTTTTACTTTCTTTTATGGAATTTCTCTCTCTTACGGTGTAGTATGATACGAAATTTACAAATAGTTCAAAATACAAACGCATAAAAT